CCCACTGACGCCTCGGCCACCAGACCCTGCTGCTGGCCAGCCTCACACAGCTTGCCCTGTCCTGGAGCTGGGCTTGGCGCTCGCATGTGAACTTCGTGAGGTTCTGCTGGCCTGTGCCTCCTCCAGCTGGTCCTCTGGTGCATAAGCCTTGCCCCCAGCTGGACATTGCTTGCAAATCTACACCAATTAGAGCATTGATTAGAATGATTTCTTGATATTAATGACCACTGTAATAGATGCCAAGTATCAACACCTGCCAAAGTCTAAAAGGCAGTTCTCCTCCATGAGCTGAGGTAGCCTATTGACCTGGCGGTGCTTTGACTTCTGCGTTTGGTGTAAGAGGTTCCCGTGAAGTTTCAAACAAAATCTTTTCCTGCAAAAAGCGCGAGTGTTTTGGTGTATGAGAACCTTAACATTAGTGCTGACGTCCTGTTTTCTTTGCCTCTGCCATGTCTGGTTCAGGATCTTTGGTAACTCCAGGTCCTTACCAAGCTCAAAAGTCTTTAAAAGAGGCTCTTTCCTCAAACGGCCTGATGTTAAAGAACTGAAACTGGCACACTGCGCACTGGGATGGCGTTACTTGCACAGCTTTGGTGAAGAGTAATAGCTGTGCTCTGTGCAAAGGCTGCCATTTCGCTTAGTTGGGACAGTTGATATTCATTGGACCCAGGATGTTTTGCAAAGGCACCGCTGCACTAACATCAAAGAAGAGAAGGTGCATTTTGTAGTGTAAAACACTAAAAGAAGCACCAGAATGGCACGTGCAAATGGAAAAGTTTTGCCACAGAAGGATCTTGTTATTCTGAGAACATTGAAGTTAAAAAGGCAACAAAGAAATATTGTGAAAATTTTAATATTAAAATAAATTAAATACATTTTCATACACTGAAAAAGTTTGTGACTGGGTTAGTTCACTGTATAGGTTACAGTTTTCTATCCAAAACAGAGGTTTTGCCTTGCCCAAAACTTGCCCAATTACAGGAGATACGGTGTCTCATTTCGATGACTAAACCCAGCTCTCTACTTTTTTCCTGGGGCAATAGCTTAAAAAAAAAATTGAGATCCTATCGTGACATGATGCAAGTGTGTTTGTTTTCGCTGACACGTTTTTGTGACCGGTGACGCTGACTGTAAACTCCCAGATTCAGCGCGGTGCTGTTCTCCCTTCATCTTTGTAGAGCACATCCTCCCCCCAGTGCTGCAGGGAAGCAGTAAGTAGGTTAGTGGTTTAATTATTCACAAATGTGACTCAGCATAAAACCAGGAAGATCTCGGTAGAGTTAAATATATCTTCATGGACTGCCTTTCTAAATGGTTTCATCGCTTATCGTGAAAAAGGCATCAGGACGAACAGATGCCTGAATGAAACCCTTCCCTGCCGTTCAGCTGGTAAGCAGTCTGAGCGACAGTAACTGCCGTGTCCCGGTTGGAGTGGGGAAGCATGCCGCAGCAGGAAGAAGACATCACTCGCCGAACACGGAAGCAACGCTGTCTCCTAAACACCGAGAACACCGACTGAGGGGGCGTTTGCAACAGACAGCAACGCAAAATGGCGCACACAATCCTGAACTAGCAGGATGTTATATTGCCGAGCGTTTGACAGCAACACTAAAGTTACCCTCGCTCCTTCATCCCCCATCTTACTGCTGCAAGGACGAGCTGCCACCGTGTCGGGGTGAACGTACTCCAGGGGTGCCCTGAGCCAGGTTCACCAGCAGCCGTACGTAGGCCCGTGCCAGTGAGGCTCCTCGGCCGCCTCGGCTAGGGTCCGTGAGGGACAGGAGGGGTGGGCAGCCGCGCTCTCTGCCACCCGCCTTCTGGTACAAGCAGCTCGCTTTGCCTATCTGGGAGTAGCTTGCGCTGTCCTTGTCTGAGGCGCTCGGCTGGAGCAGATGCAGCGAGCTGCCGTTTTGGAAAAGGGGTAGTGTTCTTTGGCTCTTGGCAAAAGGAAATCCAAGGTAATTTAAAATATTTTTTAAAAAAATCTCAGTACAGTTAAAATCCAAGTAAATACAGGTATGATAAATAACGTAAACAGTATTTTCATGCTAGGTGCTGCCCATAGTTCAAAACTAAGTGGAAATACGTAAAATACAGTAAAACTTAAGTTTCTTTACTCATGACTCTTTATTGGTGTTTTCTATCCCAGCCTCCGTCATCAGGTCAGCAACATGCTTCTCAAGGTCATCAATGCGCTCGCCCATTTCTTCCAGTAAAAAGTTAAAGATAATGTATAAATAAGTAAGAATTCAACATTTTTATACTTGTTTTCTTCTGTGAGAAAAGCAAGCAGCTTTCTTCCAGGTGTCTCAGCCTCTTATTCATTGTTAATGCAAGATGAAGCACAGACAAGGTTGTATTATTACAGAGAAGTGTTCAAGTTCGTAGCATTTTGAAATGCCTTCCCGTATGCCCATGAGCGAACGGGAGTATTTTCTGTGTAAGAGATTGTTTTCTTTCCAAGGAACTACTTCAGGTGATACCATACAGCCAAGCTACACAATCAGAGTATGAGTGCTGCTAAAACGTTCTCACACTATAGCAGCAGCTCCCTGAAAGGCCAGGTTTCAGAACAAAATGGAAAAACATAAGTTTGCAGTGTCAGAAAGCAGAGGTAGTTTTTCCAAGTACATCGGTGAGAAAGCTCTGAGCCCCTTCAGGTCTTAATTTCTGGTTTTGGGGGGCCCACCTTCCCATGCTTGGGAAGGGAACAGCTGGGTTTAGCCAACACTATGCTGATTTCAGGGGAATTTTGGAAGACGGTTGCTTTTTTAGCGTACCTTCAGAATCTTTACGCATAATTAGACGCTTATTTTACTTGAAAGCAAGAATTGCCACACAGAGACCAGCTCGCTGGGAGCTCATGCCGCTTTTATAAGGCCTTTTTCAGGATTTCCTTCTTGTTAAAGGAAAAATAAAGGGGCTTAGGTGGCAAGTCAGCTGTGTGCACATCACAGCTGTTCAACGCCAGCCGCTGCGGCTCCATTCGGGGTT